CCAGGGTCTCACCCACACCCCCCAAAACAGGAAAAAATATAAAAGGTATATGAGGTGAAACTTTGTGACAGAAGGGGTACACTTGTTTAAAAAGGTTGAAAACCTGTCTAGAATATACACCTGTTACTCAATGTTACTGCTCCAGTGTTAACTCTGGTCAGCCCCCCTTGGAGTTTTCCATTCTTAGGCCTCTTTGGAATAATAGAATCTCAAAATTAGCATCTGTCAAAAGCTACATTTGTACCATCTGAAGGGCAGATATAGAATTTTGAAAAGGGGAGTGCAGATGGTGAAATGCATCATCACATATAAAACAACAGATATTTTTCTCCAGTTAAATGTAAATTAGAAGCTATACTAATAGGTGAGGAGCCTGGGGCTGCATTCTTCAGTTTAAGATTGAAGCGAAAACAAATATAATTTCATTGGAATGAGTTAAAAACAATCTGCAGTGTTATGAAATAAGAGTTTCATTACCAGGAGAAGCTAACAGACAACAAAATTGAAGAACAAAGGATAGCTTGATTGCTGGAACATCAGGACCATTAAAAAGAATAGAGGGTCATTAACACGTGTGGAATGAAAAGGTTAGAAGGGACCAGATAGATTACAATGAGCCATGAAGTCAAGTTACTCCCACAGCACTCCTTGACTAGCTCCTTGACTTGACTGCTACCATTACTAGGCAGTTAGTTTGATTCCTGCTCCACCCAAAGTTTAAAAGTGGGGTACAAAGATATTAGTGTATACCTCTCCCATCCCCGCCCCTAAGCCTTGTTCCCCTTACAAACCAAAGCCAGTCTCAACCTGGATTTCAGATGCAAAAATGTCCAATATATTCAGTCTACTTGGAAAATTAGTCACGCACTCATTCCAAAATATTCCCCCTTTCTCCCATATCTGACAGCATTCCATATGCATGCCCCTCTTCTCACTATTGACAGGGTAAGGCAACAATACTTTGCATCCTAATTGGTTCACCTTTGCTCACTTTTCACATAATGACATAACACAATATGATGACTATGTTTTTCCATTTTCTGTGTTTAGTAGTGCCATGCAAATTCTTCTTTTATTGAAAATAAAAATAGAAATAATTAAAATCAAAGAACACTAGTGTTTCCCCTCTTCCAACATGTTCTATTTCTGCTTTTTAAAGTAACACTTTCTTAATCATGTCTTGGATCTAGTCCTTTCATCTGGCCCTATGCCTTCAGTCCTGGCTCCTCCCTGGAACAGGATCTTCTGGCAACTGTTCTTCTCCTCAGGGACTTTCTACTGTGCTCATGACTGATTGTCACTGACAAAGGCTTATACATCTTGGAATTAGGAAGTTTGGCCTCTCAGCTTAGCTTTTGGCTTGGCTTTTGCTTTTTAACTTAACCACAGAACTTCTCAGGTCTTAAATGACTCCTGGTAGTTCTCAACACATGCTCTGCCACACTGCCCTATTTACTTTCTTTCCACCTCTTTGTCCAGCTGGAGGATGTTGGGAGTGCACAGTTTTCATTAGTTTATTACTGGCACACCAAATGAGGGGTGTAGAACATTAAGATGAAACAGACCAATAGGCCTCCAGGTCTATCACTTGATTTCCTGTAAGAGTAATTCCCATGTGACGATAAATCTCAAGAAAGTCACTCCTTTCACAGCCATCACCTTGCATCCAAGCAGCTATAATGTTACTTTAAACTCTGGGATATGATCTTTTGGGGCAAGATCCTCTCTCATTTAAAAAGGTGAAGTGGTGCATAGGTGCTTTTGCATTGGTCTCCTGGCCAGAGGTCAGTTGGGTTGAAAAGGCCACTTAGTCTAACCCCTGCATGATGCAGTATGAATTATTCCTATCTAAACCACCTCCAGCAAGTACTTTCAGGCCTCTTCTTGCAACCGCCGAGGATGGAGGTTCCACAACTGCTGTGGACAGTGTGTTCCATTGTCCTACTGTTCTGACATCCATCAAGGAAGTTCCTTCTGAGATTTAATCTTAATCTAAATCTGCTTTACTAAACTTTAAATATATTGCTTCATTTTCTGTCTTCTGAATCAGTGGATAACATTTCTCCCCTGTCTCTAGGGCAGCCTTTCAAGTAATTGAAAGTTGCTATCATGGTCCCTTAGGCCATGGGCAGACATGCTGCTTGAAGGACTCCAAAGGCCTGTGAAGTGCTCCAAACAGTGAGGGTGCTGATGGTCAAACACAAAGAAGCATTTAAAAAAGGTCCAAAGTGCTACAAAAATGCCTTTACAAAGAGATTGTCTTAATTTTGAAGCATTTCCTGAAATGTCTACATTCTCTGGCAGAGCGTGACATCTTCCTACCGCTTGTTGAGAGGGAAGGGAGGAGGAGAGCAGAGTGAACACCAGCAAGTGCTCTCCTGTGCCCATGGCTGTCCTTGGAAGCCTCTGGAGACCATAAGCTGAGAGGCATTCAGGCTGCATGCCTTCATGGACATTCTGAAGCACTCAGGGTGGAGGTGAGGGGGAAGTGCATGTCAAAACAGAAGTAACGTGATCCAAATTTGAAGCACTCCAAATTGGGGTGGGATTTGGAGTGCTTGAAATGTATGGGAGGAAGGGAGGAAAGTGGATCCAGCAAACTAGAGGCCCATCAGCCAGACCTCTATCCTGGGCAAGGTCTTTGAAAAGATTATCAAGGAGGCCATCCTTACCGGATTAGTTGACAGCAATATCCTGAGGGATACCCAGTATGGGTTTGTTGCAGGTAGTTCTTGCTTGACCAATCTCATTTCCTTCTATGACCAGGTGACCTATCACCTGGACAAGGGAGAGGAGATTGATGTCATATATCTTCACTTCAAAAAAGCCTTCCATCTGGTATCTCATGATCACCTCTTGGAAAACTGGCACACTGTGGGTCCACCATGATCCACTGGCTGGGAAATTGGCTCCGTGGTTGGACCCAGAGGGTGGTGGCTGACAGAAGTCAATCGTCATGGTGCCCTGTGACCAGTGGGGTCCCCCAAGGCTCTGTCCTTGGACCTGTGTTGTTCAACATCTTCATTAATGATGTGGACACTGGAGTCAGAAGCAGACTGGCCAAGCTCGCCAATGATACTAAAGTCTGGGGTAAAGCATCCACACCTGAGGACAGGAGGGCAATTCAGGCTGGCCTTGACAGGCTCAGCAAATGGGCGGATGAGAACCTGATAGTGTTTAACACTGAAAAATGCCAGGTTCTCCACCTTGGGAGGGAAAACCTGCAGCATCCTTATAGGCTCGGCAGTGCTACACTGGCTAGCACTATGGATGAAAAGGACTTGGGGGTCATGACTTACCACAAGATGAACATGAGCCTTCAATGTGATGCTGTGGCTAGTAAAGCGAGCAAAGTGCTGGCTTGCATCCATAGATGCTTCTCAAGCAAATCCTGGGACATCATTCTCCCCTTGTACCCAGCCTTGGTGAGACCACAGCTGAAGTAGTGCGTCCAGTTTTGGACTCCACAATTCGAAAAGGATGTGGAGAGGCTTGAGAGAGTCCAGAGAAGAGCCACGTGCTTGATCAGGTCAGGAAAACAGACCTTATGATGACAGGCTGAGAACTATAGGACTCTTCAGCCTGGATAAGCATAGGCTCAGGAGCGATCTGACGACCACCTGTAAGTTTATCAGTGGTGTTCACCAGGATCTGCGGAAATGATTGTTCACCAGAGCACCCCAAGGGATGACAAGGTCAAACGGTTATAAACTCCAGCAAGACCATTTCAGGCTGGACATAAGGACGAATTTCTTTACTGCCTGAGCCCCCAAGGTCTGGAACAGCCTGCCATCGGAGGTGGTTCAAGTACCTACTCTGAACACCTTCAAGAGCAAATTGGATATTTATCTTGCTGGGATCCTATTACTCCAGCTACTTCCTGCCCCTCAGGCAGAGGGCTAGACTCGATGATCTTCTGGGGTCCTTTCCAGCCCTAATGTCTATGAAATCTATGTCCATACCCTCTATCTCCTTTTTGCCAAACTAGACATATTTAAGCTCTCCCAACCACTGCTCATATGGTTTTCATTCCAACCCCTTTGTCATCTGTACCACTTGCCTCCAGTCCTCTCATTTTTCTCTATCCTTCTTAGAATGCAGAACTGCACACAGTATTGCAACCACAGCCTAAGCAGAACTCTGAAAAGGGATGTATTATTTCTGCAAACCATTTAAGCAAATGCTGAACTTCAAGCATGGCTTACTTTCCAGCATATGTTTAAGTTAATGGCAACAGAGCATATGCTTAAGTACCTCGCTGAATAACAGACATACTTAAACAGTTATTTAAGTGAAACCAAATGGTGTATTATTACCTGTGCCAAATAAGAGCAAGATTGAACAACTGTGATATGCAGAAAGAATCTCCAGTTCCTACAGTATTTATGCCAGGCAAATTGAGGAACCAAATTCGCACAAGTATTCAAATTCAGTGTGCGATTTTGGGCATTCACTCGATATTTCAAAGGGCTGATCCGAAAGTGTTCAAATAAACAGACTAGGATTGATATATGTGCAGGTAAGATATGGATTGGAAGAAATAATAACAAAAGTAGAGATGTGTGAATAATGGATTTTGGGGTCCACAATAAGGAATGGGAAAAAATGCATTCTGGATGTAGCCAAAACAAAATCTTGGCAAAAAAAATTAACAACAAAAACTTACTTTTCAAGTTTAAAGTAACTTTTCATCTAACTCAAAATATTCTATTTAAATAATATCAACATGATGTGTTCTGACTATTTATTTTGTCCCCCATTTCAGCCAAAACTAGGTACCAAATTAAGTAAGGTAATTGTTTGGGGGGCCTTGAAACAGAATTCTTTGGCAAACATACTATTCACTGAAAAACATTACTTAGCTCTAAATGATAGCTTCTTTACTTGCTGTAACCAAAGTTATCTTATCCCAAAAGATTCTCATTGTCTATCCAAAGGGGAGACTAGTTACGTACCTTCAAGTAGTCAAGGTCACAGTTGGATCCTTCTTCTAAATCAAAGGCTGTAAAACTATAATTCAATGTGTTGCCCATTGTAGTGTTGATGGTCCAGCTGCATTGTTCATTTAGAGGGTAATTATTTGGATAGTTTAAACTTTCCAAGATGCCATAGCTACGATTGACAATCACTACCCCTTGGCAAACTGAAGAAAAAAAAAATAATATAATAATAAATTACATGTTGCATCATGTTTTTGATTCTAGGATCTCAAAATATTAACCAATGAACCTCATACCTACTGTTATGGGATATGAAGTATACCCATCTTACAGAGGAAGAGACTGAGGCACTGAGATCTAAGTGTTTTGCCCAAGGACATACTATAAATACCAGGAAAGAAAAACAGATTTTCTAACTTTTAGTTTTCATTGCTAAGCATAGGTTTATTTCCAAGTCTTGGGAGATTTGTGTGTCTATTTTTGCTATACTCTATGCACATTTTGATAATCTTTCAGCTTTCAGAACAATGTCATTTCAAATATATGATTATTTTCTAAATACATAACTTTTCATAACTAATCATAAACATGCAATGTGACATTAACCTAAATGTTGTCATTTTGAACTAATTTAAGGCGACTAGAAGATGGATTAGGATAAGCTACTGTGAAATCATATAACATTTCAGCAAACCAGTAAAAAAAAAATCCATGGGAAAGACTGCCTTTTATGTTGGAAATAAGCCTAAAACTCTTAATAAAGGAACCATGGTTTTCTTTGTTTTTTCACAAACTTTAGTTTAATGGAAGATTTGGGAATTTTAGCTCAGATAAAGGGTGCTTTCCATGAGCTAGAAAGGGAATGAAAAAAAAATTAGAAGTGAAAAAGCCCCATATGAATATGTCATTGGATCAGTAATTCTCATTTTCCTAAACCTGGCTTTCATTGGAATCAGAAACTCCCAATATACAAAAATATGTTAAACTATCCATATAATATGCATAGAGAAGAAAAATAGAACATAGAAAAATGAAAAATTTGGACATTCTGATGCCCCGAATGACAAATGTTGGGGGACTTTGAAGAAGGTAGGAGAGATGCATGATACTCACTTCACAAACACTTTCATGTCTATCAACTTGTAAAACGAATATACCTGCTGTGCAGTACTTAGATTCTTTCAAAGTGTTTTACAGAGCAACACGTTCTGTGCACTTAGATATTCAACAATACACAAAGATCACAGGAACTAGAACATGTTTGTAGGCAAAAAAGATCACCGGAACTAGAATGTGTAGGCAGCAAAAGGGCACAGCAGCCCCCTTGGCTCTCCAGGGAACTAGCAGACCTGCAGCTAAAAAGAAAGACCTACAAAGAATGGAGGACAGGATCCACCTCCAAGGAAGAATATTCCGCAATGGTCTGGACCTGCAGGGAGCGAACAAGGAAAGCCAAGGCTACAACTGAACTCCAACTAGCTACAGGTATCAAGGATAATAAAAAGTCTTTTTTTTAGGTATGTGGGGAGCCGGAGGAAAAGCAAAGGCAACATTGGACCCCTGCTAAACCAGAAGAGAAAACTGACAACCGACACCCAGGAAAAAGCCAACCTACTAAATGGGTACTTTGCATCTGTCTTTCATCAGTCCCATGGGATATCCCTGCCCATTACTGGACAGGGAGGCCTGGGTGAGGGAGATTCCTTGCTCTTCATCAATGCTGACCTTGTGAAGGAACACCTTGAGAAGCTGGACACCTTCAAGTCAGCCGGCCCAGACAATCTACACCCCAGGGTACACAAGGAGCTGGCTAGCATCATAGCTCAGCCTCTGGCATGGATCTTTGAGAACTCCTGGCGTTCTGGTGAAGTGCCCAAAGATTGGAAGAAGGCCAATGTGGTGTCTATTTTCAAGAAGGGGAGGAAAGTGGATCTGGCAAACTACAGGTCCATCAGCCTGACCTCTAACCCGGGGAAGGTCTTAGAAAAAAATCATCAAAGAGGCCATTCTTAATGGACTGGCCAATGGCAACATCCTGAGGGATAGCCAGCACGGGTTCGTTGCATGTAGGTCTTGCTTGACCAATCTTATTTCCTTTTACAACCAGGTGACCTATCATCTGGACAAGGGAAAGGAGATTGATGTTGTATATCTTGACTTCAAAAATGCCTTCTATCTGGTATCCCATGATCACCTCTTGGCAAAATTGTCCAACTGTGGGTCCACCATGACCCGCTGGCTGGGGAATTGGCTCCATGGTAGGATCCAGGGGGTGGTGATTGATGAAAGTCAATCATCATGGGGTGCTGTGACCAGTGGGGTCCCTCAAGGCTCTGTCCTAGAGCCTATAATATTTAACATCTTCATTAATGATGTAGACATTGGTGTCAGAAACGGACTGGCCAAGTTTGCCGATGACACCAAACTCTGTGGTAAAGCATCCACACCTGAGGACAGAAGGGTGATTTAGGCAGACCTTGACAGGCTCAAGAAAAGGCAGACGAGAACCTGATGGTGTTCAACACTGAAAAATGAAAGGTTCTCCACCTTGGGAGGAAAAACCTGAAGCATCCTTATAAGCTTGGCAGTGCTACGCTGACTAGCTCTATGGATGAAAGGGATTTGGGGGTCATGATTGACCACAAGATGAGCATGAGCCTTCAGTGTGATGCTGCAGCTAGTAAAGCGAGCAAAACACTGGCTTGCATCCATAGATGCTTGTCAAGCAAATCCCAGGACGTCATTCTCCCATTGTACTCGGCCTTGGTGAGGCCACAGCTGGAGTACTGCATCCAGTTTTGGGCTCCACAATTCAAAAAGGATGTGGAGAAGCTTGAGAGAGTCCAGAGAAGAGCCACATGCATGAACAGAGGTCAGGAAAACAGACCTTATGACAACAGGCTGAGAGCTATGGTACTCTTCAGCCTGGAAAAGCGCAGGCTCAGGGGCGATCTGATGGCCACCTATAAGTTTATTAGGGGAGTTCACTAGGATCTGGGGGAACGATTGTTCACTAGAGCACCCCAAGGGATGACAAGGTCAAATGGTTATAAACTCCTACAAGACCATTTCAGGCTGGACATAAGGAAGAATTTCTTTACTGTCCGAGCCCCCAAGGTCTGGAATAGCCTGCCATCAGAGGTGGTTCAAGTATCTACTCTGAACACCTTCAAGTGAAAATTGGATGTTTATCTTGCTGGGATCCTGTGACCCCAGCTGACTTCCTGCCCCTGGGGCATGGGGTTGAACTCGATAATCTTCCGAGGTCCCTTCAGGCCGTAATGTCTATAAAATCTGTAAAATAATACTCAAACACTGAGAGGTATCTGTGTTGATCTGACACTAGGGCTATGTGAATCTTTGGGTGCTGATTCAATTTGGAGGAGATTGGGAAAAAGCCCTGCGCTCACCGGCCGCTGCAGCAGCCATCAGGGCTTCTGGGGGCTTGTGGCAGAGCCCCCATGCAGCACAGGGCAGTGGATGGAAGTGGGGATTGGACCCCGCCTGGCAGGAGCTGGTGAGTGCGGGGCTTTTTTTTCCTCTCTCTCTCTCTTTTTTTTTTTTTTTTTTTTTTAAGAGCCAGGATGCTGGGGCTGGGCAGGGCAGGCATTGATGAGGCTGGGAAAGTGGGCAGGGGATGGGGCCTGTTTGATTTAGATATTTGGCCGATTTATTGGTGGTTGAATCTCCAAATCAGATTCGGCCAAATCTATTTGGGACACTGATTCAAATCACCAAATCAAATCACTGTCCCCCAAATTGGCTGAATCCAAATCCAAAGCAAATGCTGACCTCTTTGCACAGGCCTATCTGACACCCTACTTTCCTCTAGAATATATATAAAAATGGTTTATGAGACAATGTTATGAGGACATGTGAATGCCTCTGACTAACTAAGCTACATTATTTCAAACTGCGTCTTGTCTATATTTTTAGAATTTAAGCAAGATGCTGGAAGTTTTGTTTCTTGTGTTATTTGCTAGGGGTGGGCAAAGCAGGCTGTATTTGATTTGGATTCGGATTTGGTCTGATTCAGGGGACAGTGACTCAATTAGTTGATTTAGATCACTGTCCCGATTCGATTCGATGCTGATTCAGAGAATCAGCAAATCGGCCACAGACACAGCTTTAAATGTCTTTTCTACATACCTCAAGGTATAAGGCATGGCTCATGAATGCCGAGATGGTAGGGTGGATGGAGCATCCCACAGAAGGGAGGGGAGGGCGGGCCGTACACACTCAGTGGTTAATCTCAAAGTTGATCAGAAGTACTTCTGGTCCACTTCTGGGTCCACCGCCACGCGCACTGGGGACCCCCCCACGCTCCCATGGAATGCTCCATCTGCCCCACCTTCTCAACATTAATGAGCTGACTGGTACCTTGAGGCATGTGGAAAAAACATTTAAAGCTGTGTCTATGTTTGAATCATTGAATCTTTCTGAATCTCTCTCAATCAATTCAGAGGGTTCCAATTCAGTTCGGAGAGATTAGAGGGTCTCTTGATTTGAGTTGGATTTGGAGATTTGGCCACCAAATTGGGCCAAATCTCTATTGAATTGAAGTGTTTGACTTTTCACAGGAAACTCTAAAACCAAATGATTTACTGTAATTCAAACTCATGGGTATGCCCAGATATACCTCTTTCTACAAAATTACAGCAATGCTTCTTAAAAGGACACATCATCTCCACAAAATCTAGAAATAACTATGCTACAGTTTATACTTAGTATCATTCCCTCATCTCAGAATGTTTATACTTAGTATCATTCCCTCATCTCAGATTCATACCAACTTCAAGTGGCATGCACACCCTTTAATATGTAAGGAGAGAAACTAAATACTGGGGCAATGTCCACAGTTATGAGCAAAGAAAATGCACAATATTTAAAGCATATTTAAGTTTAAGTGAAGATTTTGTTTAAATAAATATAGCTAAATTTTTAATACCAAGATAAACAGATCCATTCTGTTACCGAGCCAAACATATCCATTCATAGCAACTGAAAAAAAGTCTTCAAATATTGGTATTCTGTTCTCTGAAAAGCTTCATTACTTTAAGTTACATCCAACAACAGAATTAATTTATAAATAATTGTAAAAATTACTCTCACAACACATATTTAAAAAAATGATACTGTCCAAAGTCTTCTAAGTAAGCTTTACTAGAATCTATGAGACAGACTGTTCCACTACATTGGGAGAGATTCAGAGAGAGCAGCTTTGTGATATTTTTCATCTGGTCTTAGGAGAAGCTAGAGAAGTCAGGGGTCTATTCTATCTTCCATCACTAGCAGAATATCTTGAAATTATGCTAGTAGAAGATCAGGAACAGTAGAATCATTTTATAATACATAGATGGCTCATATACATATTAGGTAAGTCACAAGTGGAAGGGGTGGCTGGTACTCAGAGAGAGATTCCCCACAAAAAGAGATTTTTCCACCAGACATCTCTGACAATTTAAGGCTTTAAGCCTTAATGCTTTAAGATTGAGCAGACTGAAGAACTTGGCCCTATTCATAATGATACTGTATTTGCCTAGTCTTTACTGGAATGGAGCTCTGGTCACAGTAAAACCACTGGGATGCAGAAGTTTTAAAAACAGGTCCTAGCATTCTAGCAACATTCTTCTTTCATTCTTCTCATTAGTACTTACTTTGTTTGTACTTAGCAAGGAAACCTCCACCTTGCAAGCTGCTATCTGTCCTTAGTTTCATGTACAAAGTATCCCCAGTGGAGCGAATTGTGTCTGGTGTCCGACTCCCACAAAATTTACCCAGCAGCTTAGCACTGGTACTGTTGCCATCATATACCTTCAAATGAAAAAAGACAGAGACCTTGAAGGATGATGGACATGGTTTGATACATGGGTGACTGATGCCACCTTAGTCAGGGGGGACACATGCTCTCCCGCAACCAGTCCCACTTGCTGGGGGGGTCCCCCCCATGGCCAATCCTGCTGACCGGGGGGGATCCTCCTGGGTGATCCTCTGACAGCTGACTGCTGTAGATGATAGCTGTGGTTGCTGCAGCCACTTCTGGGAGCAAGCGCTGGCAGATCGCTGCAGCCACTCCTGGGAGCAGCTGCAGCAACCACAGTGATCGGCCAGTGTTTGCAGGGGGGACACCAGTGCTCCCACCTGCCCTACCCACCCACCACCTAAGCAGTGAGCACGGCCGGTCAGGGGGTGCACTGGCACTCTCCGGGGGTGCACATGCACCCCTGTGCACCCCCTATGCGCTGCCACTGGTTTGATAATTTTCACTAATGACCCCTTTAGCTGATCTGTAATGTGGATATCTGAAAGAGGATGAAACTGTCATGTTCTCTGTGAAAAGCTACTTATGGCAAAGCAGAACCTACTGAGGTAAACTTTCAGAAGTGGCCTCGTATTTGCTTTTGTACAATACATTCCTACCAGTTAAGGATACCAATTTACTCCATACCAGTTAGCATGGGTAAAACCACATGGCCACTGGCAACTCTACTAAGTATCAGCTTTATGCATACAAAATGGGTAAGTATGCACGTGTGTATAAATTTTGTAATCCCAAACATCAAAGTTAGTTGTTTTAAGTTTAAATTAAAATTTAATTCAAAGCTTGAAACATGGGTATTCAAGTTCTGGTAAATGTTTTGGCAAATAGTTTCTGAAGTCATGCATCACCTCAAGTTGGAAAAGAATAAGGAACTCTCTGGGGGTGCATATACATTTGCAATTAGAATGATGTGATAAATTCTGGCTGTTTGCAATGGAGTCAGCTGCTCCCAGGTGCAGCATTTACACATGCGCCTGGGACCGCAGTATATTGAGCCGAAGCAGAGCAGCTCTGGGCTGGAAGGAGGTCTGGGAGATCAGCCTCCGGCTCCAAGTGGTGGGGTCAGCCAGGAAAGGAGCTGGCTGGGGCATGAGAGTTCTACAGTATGCCAGGAAGCCCTTGCACTGTCGCACCCTCGTGCTGCAGCCAGCCCATCACAGTCTACACCTGTGTTTAAGTGCACGAGATTACTCCCCTGTAGGATAATACTATCCTACAGCTGAGTTAATTAATTTACTGCACCCTAATATGGTCACACATGTAGACTGTGACACTTTATTTTGGAGCTAAGTAGTCAACTCCACAGTAGAGTGTACTTGTACATGCACCCTGGAAGGAACATTGGGCGCTTGTACACATTACATTTTTTGCCCTTTCTTGCACTGCAGCAGCATGACTGTTTGCATGAGCAGGTTTTCCAGATGCTTAGAAGTCTTTCTGTTGCATTAAACTAAAACTCCTTGGACATATTTAATTTGGCTCGTCGCATATTGAAGTGTCATGTTCATGGATTTGTTGCGTTGAAACAAAAAGGCACGCGAAGATGTGTAATAAGCCTCTTTATCCACCAGATGCTGTTGCAACTATTTGTAGTTCTTCCCTTCAAATTGCTGCCACTTTTGAATTGCTGCCTTTTTTTTTTTTTCTTTGTGCCATGAGCCAGCTCCCTGCTCCCACAGCTGCAAGGCAGGGCACAGAGTGGGGGGCCCTGGGATGGTGGGTCAGCAAGGGATGTCCTGCGCTCCTGCAGCACCATCCAACGACTGGGCTTAATTCAGTCGAAAACCTAGTACATGCAAACATTGATGCGGCACTCCAAAATAAACAAGTTTAAATTTTATAAACCTATTTAATTTAAATGAGGATTAAACCCTGTAATGTGTACAGGTGCCCAGTGTGTTAATAGTCCCAGTGTTCACCCTCAATGAACCAGCTCTTAGCTAAAGAATCTATAGGATGCAATAAGTGCATAAATTTCACCTATTAGTTTGGCAGCGACAAACAAATGAAAGCCCGCTACAAGATACAGCCTGGAATGTCGCATGCAGTCTAATGGTGGTTGGTTTCCACACTAAAGTTCTCAGGAGAAGTTGTCTCTCTTTACAATAAGTTTATTTTCAAGAACAAGGAAACCTAAAGAGTGAAGATAGTGACCTATACTGGTAACTTTTGAGGGGTTTATTCACCAGGAGGAGAAAACTCTTCTTCAGTACAACTCTTATACAAATATTCAGGTCAATTATGTAACATTCTGAGCATGAAATTTGGGATTAACAATACTGTTATTGTCACTGAAGTGCCTTCTGTCCTTCCAATCAACTAAAACAGCTCGTTAAGTCTCTGATCCAAAACCCAGTGGTGTAAAGGCAAAGATCCTAACATACACACACAAACACATGCCCCTCTCTATATTTCCTTCTCCTCTGCTTCAGGTCTCTCTCCCTCTTCTTTTCTGTGATTTTAAAAGTGAAATTCAGCATGAAATTTCCCTTTCTAGAGCTGTTCATTGTTGCAAGTGTCTTTCTATTTTTCTTCCTGGGCATTCATACTGCTCTGGTATGTAAGAAATGAGAAATATTGTACATACAGCCAAGTAATCAAAGGTGCATTTGGGATGGGGCTCCAGGTGGAACTGTTCAAACTGGATTTCAAATGGACTGCCTCGGCTTGATTTCAGCAACCAATAACATTCTGAATTGCGGTAATAAGGCATAGGATAATTTGGAGACATGAAGTTGCCAGATGGAGTTGTGAGAGTCCCTCCACATCCTGAAAGGGACAAAGAAACTGTCATTCAACACATTAAGCATCAGCAACATCCTACTCTCATCTGCAAAGAAATTTTATATTGAGTTCTGTATCTTACCACAGCATCTCTCTTTTGTAGCCAATGCAATGCTTCACAACAGTGGTGTAAGGATGGGTTGGCAAGTGAAGCACGAGCCACAGGGACTGCCTAAGGGGTATGTACCAGAATGGAGTGGGGGACACCTTACACTCCTGTCCCCTGTTCTTCCCCTCCCCCTGCATCTTTCTTGCAGCCTCCACCCACTGTTCCCAACTTCCAGTCTGCTGCTGGAACTTTAAATCTCATGGTGGTCCTCATCCACCTCATGCTTTTTCCTGGTGCCACCATTATTTTCCTCATAAGCACAGAACAAAGAATAGAGTTGAATTTACAATATACTCATGTTTCTTTCACCCCTTGGAGAAAAAACAAGCAAACTATATGTTCTATTCATGGATTCATCCCTGTTCTAAACTATCTACACTTCTATTTTCATTAGTCAACAAAGGAATTTAATTAGAAGGGATTCATTATGAAGTTGAGCACAGAGAAAATGGAACAAAAGAGACAAGCAGAAAAAGGACGATAAGTTTTATATTAAGTGGTCCCCTCTTCAGAATTCTTATTTTACCCGTTGATGTTCCATCCCAGTAAGCCGAAAATCCAGTTTTTGTGCCATACACATCACTTACAAACTTTATCCACAGTCTGTTACTGTGGGAGACAATAACAGGTGGCAGAGTTAAGCCACAGTATTTTCCAAGGAATGGTGATGTCTTGTAGCCTCCATCTCTAGAGCAAAACAGAAGAAAAGTCTTGGGTCAACAGGTCAAGTGGGAGAAATATAAATAAAACTTAGGATTCCTTCAGTGTTATTGTTACAGAGAAATGTAATGGCTAAGTGTCACGGAGTGGGCCCTAGGAGCAGCCGTGATCCCGCTAGCGCCCCCTGCCGTGCCACATTAGGAGATCCAGCACCCTCTGATT